TGTTTCGGCATAAATGTGCCATCTTCAGGTGCTGATCAGGTGCTGCAGTATAACACACGCAGTCACAGGAGCGAGACGCAACATAGAGCACAATACACGATAGTGAAAGAGTGCTCCAACAGACGATGATAGACGTGACTCGCGTAATGAAACACGACGTAAGAATGAAATATGCTGTATAATTTTAATATTTTAACTCTTAACATTTATCAGTATATATGATAAATATATATTTTAGTTATTTTAGTATGTATAGACAAGGCATGCAATGAACTAGTTTGTCGTGGATTGGATCAGCACCTGAAGATGGCACATTTATGCCGAAACATGTAGTGAGTGAGAAGAGGGGATAGATGAATGTATGCACTAGAAGACGGATAAAATAAATCATGGATTATGTTCAAGCCTAGAACTGATTTTATCTAATTTCTCTTCATTAACATTGGGNAATCTGCAATAGCCCTTAGATGCCTTGCACAGGAGACCTGGGTTTAAAATTTCAGGTTTCAAGTTTCGTGTTTTCTCTGTTTCAAATCAGGAACTTCAACGCATGAATATGAATACTCTTTCGAGATGCAAGGAACGCCTGCATATCAACAGCGTCCATATCCGCCATGTACCGTCATCTGGGTGGGTTCTGTTTGTGATCTGTTGGGCTAGGGCAATCCGTTGGTCGCCGCATATTGAAAAGGTGGCCAATTACTTCAAGTTGGCTTACTGAGTCGTCATGAATTATTGAAAACACAGTTAAATCCATGCAAAGTTCTGTCAAGTCGGTAAATCAATAAGGTTTAATATACCAGAATGCGAGAAGTTCTAGCTCATTTTCAATTCCCGTTCACGAAGATGACAGTATATTTAGAGACTTCGTATATATTTTTATTAAACCGTAACAGGTATGTGAGAGTAAACGGTAGAAGAAAAGGGGCTTTCATTTTTTGTTAACATTTAAATGCGTAAATATGACTAGTGTCGCTCTCTGTATGTTGGTGTCGATGGATGACTACCTACTATACGTGTGTGTGTATGTGTGTGTCGGTTTCGTTTTTGTGATTTAGAAAGTGATCAAAGAACGTCAGCATCTACCCTATACAGGGACAGAACATTGTTAACTCTAAGTAAGCAACCGTTGCTTACAAGGAGACATGAAGACGGGAACATGTATTGGTATCTGCGTAATATCTACATCCACGCCATTTCGTTCAGTGTCGTTCCTTCCCTAAAAACACAAGCCACTCATTTCCTCTGCCTAAGCACCCAGGGGACTGAAATGTAGAGGAGGAGGTTTCGTTGACAGGAACTGCTAAATGGCGTCGCATTTAGACTTTCAACAGTTTCAAGTCCTACTTATCCCTTCTCACCCTCTGCAAGAGGTCCACGGCACCAAAATGCGGCGACAAACACGCAGTCAAACAGACATCCCATGTGAGACATGGAGAGGTAAACTGACTCTATGTGTTGCTCAGCACCGAGTGTTAGGGAGTAAGGGGTGTGTAACACTCACTCTCTCGGAGCAAGAGAATATAAATAAGCAATCATGTTGCGTAAAACAATGTTAAGACTGTGTCACACATGTGATGTCATAACACTATGTTACAGAATTGTACCGAGTAGGTTACCCAATCCAGTGCCAAGGTAAAAAATCTTGGAGTTATACCTCCAATCTCCCAAACGCCTTTGCGATGCTTAAATAATTAAGCGCAGAGGCAACTTTAACTTCTGCTCAGTACGTTACATATGCTGATCACAGTGGCCACACCCGCTCGAACACTGGGAGTGTTGGTTCGAATCCCACTCAAGGAATGCATTTATGCATGCGTTTAGTCTGTTTGTGTTGTTGTTGTGTGTAGGTAACGGCCTTGCGACGGACTGATCCCCCATCCAAGGAGTCCTACCGATTGTGTATAGGATTAAGAAACTGAAAAGTGGCCAAGGCCCAACAAAGGGCTGTAGATCCATAGACAGACAGATAGATAGACAGCGTAGGTCAGGCATGTCAAACTCAACTTGTACAGAGGGCCACCTCAGCCCTATAAATAATAGTCCAGGGCCGTACTTCAAAATAGAAATATACATTAGATTTTGATAGAAGGAAATTTAATTCTATTTATTATTTAGGAATAATTTCAATATAATTACCTAAAGTCACATATCTTAGAGTTTTAAAAAGCAAGAGAATGCCATTTTTGACAAGTATCAAACAGCTTTTCAATATGTAAAAAGAGAGATTACACAAGAAATTATGAGAAATAGAAAAACGTTGAATTTCCTGCAGCCTGCTAATTTATGTCTGCGTGAGACTTCTTGTCTTCTGGTCTGTTGGAAAATTGTCCTTACAAAAATATTTCTACTAAAATTTTAATATTGATATTAATATCAATTACCTCTAAAAGTTGAGGGGCCGCATGTTTGACACGGCTGGTGTAGTTTATATGAAGCGGTAACAAAACTCACTTTTATTCGAGAGGAATCTTGACTGAGCCTCGGTTGAGTCAACTACTTTGGTTAATTGGTTTTCATTCTTTTAACTACGCTCCTTCAGTTTCCGAAATTTTATAGAAATGAATGAGAATATCAAGATCAGTATAGAGGTCAAGGATTTCGAAGGAACTGTCAGTGCAAGTATTCATTAGTTTGTTTCTTTATTCAGCGAAACTTTCTCTAGAAAGGCTATACAGAATCGACTGGCAGATTGGAAAACTTTAGAAAAGAATTTACCATGGACTACTTCAAGGGACTCTCCCGAAATGTTCTGGGAAATCTACGAAAATTCTTGTCAGGATACGTGAGCGTTTCCTGAATACAAGTCGAAAGAATTATTGCCACAGTAACCTGCTCGCTCCTGCGTTTTGTCATCCGTGTAATTTGGAATGGAAACGGAAGGCTGTAGAAGCTGTCATGTCGTACTTCAGCGTACTGAACTAGTCTAGCCTCCACCCCACGGTCACCGTCGGTTGGTTGGCACTCCTAGTTCATATTCGGCCTGAAGGGAGACAATCCTGACTGAGACCTTTCACATTAATTCAGATTTACAAATCAGATAAACAAGTGTCGCAAGAAACTGCCAGAAGAAAATCTTCACCGGTTAGCTGGGGAAGACCGTCCACTGAGCATGCTCTTACTTTATAGGCAGCTGTAAATTAATGTAATCGCTTTTCCATCTTTTCCATCACGTTTTACTTTAAATCCAAAGTTAATAACAACATTATTTACAAAATTTATTCTAAATGTAAAATTATATTTTAAGCCATGATATTTATTTTTAAATTTTTGATGTGGCTACGAGAATTTTTTGCTTGAAAACTGCTGACTCAAACAACAGCGTCTCATGACTGGGTAATAGTGAATATTGAATTGGAGGGTACGTGGAAGAAACTGGTCGTGACCTGGTAGTTCCAAATTTCTACCTACCCAACATGACAAGCATAATCCCAGTATTCGCCCTAAGGGACTGAGAAGAGTCACGAAAAATCTATCAAAGACGGCCCGTGTCCCGGGCGAGGTTCGGAAAGGAGTCCTCTGAAATTGAAGTCAGAAGCGTTACAGCCTGAAATAATTTTCTCATTAAACTAAAATATGAAGGGTGCAGTAGCATCCCGCAGATGGCATCCACCACAAGAACATATCAGATAATCAGAGTGCACTGAAATTCGAGTGTTGGGCGCAGGAATTTAATAAAAATAACACGTATTAAGAACACTCAAAACTGAAGTGGAGAATGTTTGGATTCAGAAGCAACGTACTTTATATTTTGATCATGGTGATTCTGAGGCGTATCAAAATTGGGAGATGAAGAGAAACTTCCCACCATAACAGCAAACACTTCTTTATGAATATTCTTTTCATTGAGTCCTTTGGTAGTATACTCCTAAAACATAGTAGCCATTTTGACTACTGAAACCAGCCTCTGAACATGCGCATGAACATCTGCTACCATCGAGAAGCTGGACTGTGCTGCTACATCCAATAGAGCTGTTTTAATTACATCTGTGACATATTTACTGACTTTCCCATCATACATTAACATCTATACCCAAAAGAAAGTTATATACTATGATTACAACCGATAACTTAGAGATTTAGATGTCTGAGAGCATGCATACTGTATGGATATACACACTGAAAAAAAAAACACTGCAGACATTTGCAATTCATGTCATGAATACACATATCTATCCATTTTGAGGGGCCATCTTTACCACCTCCTGCATACTGAGATGTTCAACTTGTGGTGCCGACCTTATAAATCCCACGAATAAATACTGATTAACATATCGAATATTACCTTACCCCTTTTCTGTTATTTCCCAACTAAATCCTGTGTACTAATTTGACTAACTTCATTTCCAGCCCCAGCAATAGGTCCCTGAGATAACAATATTGTGTACTCATAGGCAATGTCTGGCTTGGTATCCCCCAAATTCATCTTTTGAACCATCTGCCAGATTTTTAGGAACTTAAAGAACCTTGGGGTAAATGGAACTATGGCTACCTACTGTAATCAGGTTTTCATGGTTACTCACAGTGCAGTCAGTACAGCGACTGGTTACAATGTGGCCGATAGGTCAGAGTTAAACCCGGAGGGAGCAAAATTTTTGACCACTCTAAATCATCTAGATCGGTTCTGGGGCCCACTCAGCCTCGTATTCAATGTGTACCAGTGGCTCTTTCCCCAGGGGTGAAGTAGCCAAATGTGAAGCTGACTACTCACCTCTAACAAGAGCTGGGGTCAAGAATACATGTATCTCTATACCCACACCTCCATACATGTATGTCTTCATAGCAAAGTGCTTAATTAGTTAAGCACAACAACTACTGCCAGTCATTCATTAAATCCAATGCATGATATCACACAAAGATCACAACTCCTATATTTTCCTTTTTCTTGAGTTTGAACACCTGCAGTCTCTGACTCCAATCCTTGGCCACGCCAGTTACATTCACTGTATATTGATGCTATAAGATCAGGTAATGCAAAACATTAAACGTAGCAGGAAACATTCACGTCAAATAAACTTTACTGCAAAATACAGCACATTGTTAACATATATTTGGACAGACACAATCATGGATCATGCGATCACACAAGAAATGTTATGATGATATAGCCGTTTAGTAATTATTTTACAAAAATATCTTCAAATCTGGGATAAATAATAAGAAATGGAACTTACAATGCTTGAGAAGACAAATAACAGTTGGCTGTTATGAGAATGTTAGCTAATATGCATCAGGTAGTCAGAATTAGGACACCAAAAGCAATGCCTGTATTTCATCCCTATATTATAAATATATATATATCTCCTCCTTACCTTTCAGTTTCACACATACCTAAGACATAATTTTTTTACTATTATTCAGTGTGGAAATTTGCTCTAAGAAACTACTATTATGAACTCCATATATCAAGTAAAACTGTTGAATTTACAGGCAACACTGCCATCTACACAGCAGAACACTTCAATTTATAATAGTGAAAGAAACAATAAGAGCAAACATGAGGTTAATTTGCACTCTGATCTTGCTGTAGAATTCTATTTAGGTCTATTTTAGTTTGTGAACATCACAGTCATGCTACATTATATCCTTTTATAAAATTATAACCAACAATGCTGGACATTCTGTCATGAAAAACTGCCCATTAATCACTACAAAGCACAAACTTCTGAAAATATGTGGGCCTGAAATGCATGTATAAGTCCACAGTCTGGCAGCTAGAACATCTGCATATGGATAATATGCGAATACAAAAACAAGCCTTCCATCTACACCAAGGGGAATAAGAGATATTGGTTGCTCAAGACTGAGACTGGAAGCTGAAGCTGGAAGAGGAAGATTTTATGTGGCCAGGGGTGAAGAGCATGAATAACAGATTTTTGACAGAATAACTACATTACTCACTAATAAAACAACATATTCAGAGAAATATTTTGTTAAGATGTATGCTTTAGATCTAAATTCTTGTCATGAATAGGAATTACAAATTTACATATTTTAATATTTATGTTACTGGCAAATAACTGCAAATTATAAACACTTTTTACAAACAATGCATATTCAAAACTTACAAGAAAAAATCACAGATATGTAAAGCCCATTAAAAAACTTCAAAACTGAAAACATAGGCACATTTAAAGACAGACACTTTAACTTCAATATTTCTGACAGAAGTGACTCTTTCAGCCCTTTTTAAATTTATGAAATATGAACTCTATTGCATAAGATGAGAATTAGATGTGTCCTTGTGTCACTGTGGTGTAATGCGTAACATTTCTTTGATTTTTATTACTTCACATATTTCTCTTTCAGGCACACTGAAGTGTCAATCAGAAGATGTGTGCTGTAATTTACACTAATAAATATTCCATCTCCTCTAAGACAATAAATTTTGTTCGCATTGCATCCATTTGAATGAGCATTTTTACTAATTTCATAAATTCTCATAATATTGTCTTTGTACTGTAACTTGATAGGGCATACTCTTTGGATATCATAAACTGTCAGCGTTTTAAAATCTAATTGTAAATATTATAGTTTTAAGAGTATGCATATCATCTTTCAATCATCCGTTTTACATGAAAAGAGAAACAGCCAATTTCAAAAACATCATAGTTCTCTGAATTTTAAACTTTAAAACACGGACAACTGGTAATGCCCAAAGAAAATACCCAATGATACTACACGACACTGTCACCAAATTTTAGGACCATATACATAACCTGCTCCTATAATGATTAAAATGTATGTACAAAACAATCTCTAATCACATATTAAATGCAAAATAAATTACAAAGTACAACACAGTCTTAAGCTTCACATTATCAATGTAGAATGCTACCTTATTTCAAAGCAATTTATATTCGTTTTTGCATTAATGGCTCTCCATTTCATGATTTTCAGTATTAAATACTGAAGACCCCGAAATGGACAACATTATTGTGTGTGTTGTTTTTATGTTTTCAACCTATTTCAAATGACTGACAAGTGTCTATCAGAACATTAGAAGTGTTCAATAACACTTAAAACGACAAATCCATGAAATACTTTGGCCCACGATACTGACATATCAGGCTTCAATATATTGTATATTCATGTCCTACTAAAATGTTATTTAAATGTTCAAAATATAATAGCACAGAATATATAGCAAAATTTTGATCTCACTGTAATTAGGCAAACTGTCCATTCCTATTCCAGTCAATAATTGTGTTGTATATTAAACAAAATATTAAATTACTGCGTGAAAACCAAAACAATCAGTCATAATTATTACAGACATTTAACAATCATGTCCCTCCTATACAAGATTATCTTTTTAGCGTTGTATATGGTTAAGTATAAACAGAAATAGATATTATGTTGACAAGCTTGTAATCAAATTCATAAATGTAATTTCACCACTGTAAAGAAGTTCATAAACTTGCTGTAACTCTGTTTACATTAATACTCCAACAGCCATTATTCTTCAACATATTACATATAATAAAATTTGCTGAAAAAAATACACGGATGGGTGTCATAAAACTACAGTTCTGTTAGGAATAAATAATTTGTTTTGATGTGCATATTAAAGAATCCACTTAAAATGATCAAAGATTATTTTAAAAATCAATATTCCTCATACATTTAACATAACACACTATGCTATAATGTAAAATGAAGCCAAATTTTCATTTTCAGGCTGGAAAGGGAGGTAACATTATTTAACAGAAAAGCTAGTCAGAATAAGCCTATCAAAGCGCCACATATGCGCACTATCAGAATATAATCCTGCAGCAGCTGAGTTATGCAATGATACAACTATAAAATAGAATTAATGGTAGAATTTCAGTATATAATTCATGAATTTTGTAAATTTCAAAATCTACTGTCATGGCATATAGTTTAAATCCTGGAAGAGTGCATAACACAATCTAACCATCACATGTATGTGATGTTCTACTGCTATCTATATTTAATGTCCTCTGTTCACAGGCCAGTCACTTTCAAACTGCTTACAGTAAAAAATAAGTTAATTAATTATGTTACAAGAATAAGCAATAGCTTTTGCTGAATGTGAGGGACATGTTCTGCATAGCAGTTTCAGATTCACCAGACCAACAAATGTTAAGTCATTGGATAAGACTGCTACTACCAGTTGAATTTGAAATCCGTCTGAATTCTTCAAAAGTTGTTTCCTTCATACTCTGATGTTGGACAAAACCCCAAGTCCTCCTGAACTTTGTAAAGATCTACAGCAAAAATGATCTCAGACTGAAGCGCTTTCAGGTTGAGGGAAAAGAAGGAAAAGCAACAGAACTAATCCTCTCCCCTCCTAAGAAAAACTGCACTCTTCCAGTTATTAAATACAATTAAAATTAAAAAAAAAAAACTAATGCAATATGTTCTTACTCCTTTACTAAATCCCACAAAAGACCAAAAGACAAACAGGTTATTGCCATTTTTCAATATAATCCCCCTGCTTCTCCAAAGACTTGTTTCATTAGTCCACCACTTGCTGACAGCATCTGAGAACATTTTCATATGTTCCAGAAGCCTAGTATACAGCAGCTCTTATAGGCTCTGAAAACCAGCATCCATGTAATACATTTCAGCAGTACAAACAACGTGACAGTCATATGGGGCAAGGTCCATACTATACAGTGCACAATGGCAGAGCTCAGATTTAAGTTTTCAAACTATTTGAACAAAGCTGAGTCACAGTATGTTGGTCATCAGTGGTTCACACCAAAAACAATCATGTTTACACTCAAACTGTAGGAAACACACTAAACATGCTGACAACCAGAGTCATATTTAAACTTGTATGAATACAGAATTGATTTCATAACTCTGGGAGAACATTTTGACATGGTCAAGAGTTTTATAAATTAATTGCCTTCACTTTTTAATTTGACCTCATACACAAAAATATTCCCCCCAAAAAATGTTATTTATATCACAAATTAAATGCAATCTTCCACAACAATGGAGAATAACTTTTTTTTTTCTTGAAGTAAGGCCACCCTTTACACACAAAATCCCTGAAATTCTACCCATACAGAGTTTCATAACTAATGTTCTAAGAATATAAAAGCTAAGCTACAGTGCAAAAAATGCAAAATTATACATTATTTACTTTAGTAACTTTTAAATAGAACTTTTTCCTTACAATGCACAGTATATAGATCTAAATTATTTATCATCAGAAATATCTAGAATTCTATTTAACATACTTGAGTACCATAATATTATAGTCTTCAGAACCACTCTGATATTACTCTCTGGTTAATCTCAATTATAAAAGATGCAGACTGTGCAGTCGAAGATGTAACATAAATTCATTATATCTAAGCTTTTGCCACCTTCAGATTTTTTTAAGCTACACCTCTGGAAAGTACTGAAGTTAAAAGCGTGCACTTTTCATGCAAATACCTGAATATTTTATTTTCGTTCATAAGCAGGTCTGTACTTGTAGCTATCAAAGTGTACTGAGTACAAACATGAGAGATACTAGCAAAAATTGCAAAAGAATAAAATGCAAAGAACACACTTAACACAGTGTCCAACCACAAGACAAACCATTATCGTTTAGTCATCCTTGGGGCTCTCAGGCTGCAAGTCATACCAGCATGTAATAGCCTTTGTCAGGTCCTGTTCTCCCAGCTTCACAATCACCTGAACAGGAAACAGATGCCATCATACACAGTTAAAGTCTGCCTCCATAGCCAAGCACCACACCAGGAACACTCCAATGTCATAAATAAATTGACATAGAACAACAAGAAGCACATTTAAATAAAAATTTAAAGGAAAGAAACCCATGGGACTAACCAGAACAATATACATAAAGCAGAGGAAAGAGGTGACAACAAACTGATAGGGAAAGGCAGTAAAAAGGAAGAAAGGAATGGAGACATATGTCCACTCACCAATGTAAAATGGAAGGATAAGAGGAGACAATGAAGAAATTCACAGTTTCATATATTTTAATCTTTAGACTTTTAGAATGGAGATGGGAAAATGTAATTTTGAAGCGAATGGTAGGAAGCATCCAACAAATTTAATGTGCCCTTATTTACTCACGAATTTTGGTTTCTATTAATGTTGTTCCAAAACATTTTAACTTTGCCAGTGATATTAAATCTGTAGAACTGAGAAGTATCTAAACTACAGTACTGAAAAAGGAAAATGTGTTAACAGCATACAGAATAATCATTATTATATTACACTTGTTCAACAGATATCATGGGCACATTGCCATTTAAGACAAATGGCATATTCTTTCTGAAAATAAAGATTACAATTCATTCACTCCAAAATAATGTTCACAAGGAGGAACTCAATGAAGTACATTACACACCTGACCCATGACAGGACTCTGGGATGAGAACCATCCTTTATGAGTGCAGACAGACACTTCCAGTTGTCGAGAGTTCAGTTCTCCTTGTGACAGAATATAGTCAAATGTTTCATCATATACTGGATTACAGTTGTCCTTCATTGTCTGAAAATACATGTGTGCTTTATTACACATCTAATGAAAAGACAATTCAAATATTTCGGCTCCATTACTTAATACAATAAAATTTCTTTAATGTGTACTGATTACTTTAAGAAAATTTTAATTTGTAGCTGCCTTCCACTATTACGGTTTTTTCAATAATTGATAATTGTAACATCTGCTAAATACATTGACAGAAAATATGACAGTTCAAAAAAATACAAAAATTATTGTTACTGCAGAATGTCACCTTTATTGGAAGTATAATGAAACATAAGCAACTGAGAAATGCTAGGGAATATTCACTTATTTTCTTACTATTATATTACTAATCCACTTTTCATATTCAGCTTCAAGGGCCATTTTCTTGCCTCAAGGTCAGAGTCATGACAAAACAAAATATTTTCTTTCAACCATACTTTTCCTGTAGCTGCAAATTCTGGGGATATATGCAGCTCACTTGTTACTCTCATTGTGAAATACTGCAAACCACTAGTGTAGTGCAAAAATTGGCTGGGCTGGAAGGTAAGCCAGTGAAAGAGCTGCTGGCAGCGAAAAAGTAGGGAAAGAACCTGAATACTTTTTAACAGTTTCAATTTTTTTTATTATATTACAATATTATGACTGCTAAAAATAGTGAATTTAAGAAAGACTATGAACTACTTCAACAGAGCTTACTGTTCAACAGAATAAATGACAGCATCCATAGATGACGATTTAAGCTGATCTGCATCATATCAGTTTAGAATTAATTTTTAGTTGTATTAATGGTGTATCAAAACTTCATGAAGTTTAAAAACTGAAAAGCAGTAAACTATAATTCACTAATGAATATGAAATATCAATTACACTTTTAAACAATTTAAATTTAACACAAAAATAATCAAATCATTGTGTTCAGCAACTTTCAATTAATTTTCCACCCCCATAATATGCCTGGAATGGCATAATAATAAGTTATTTTCTGACAAAATTTAGTCTGCAAAGAAAAAAGCTGGCAGTGAAGGACCAAATACTGTCACAGCATATAAATGAATTGGAAACTTTATAACAACATATGGCTGCTGTAAACTACTTTTCCAAAACACATTCAAAAAGTAAGTTCCACATATGATGAATGAATGTATGAGGGGTAGGCCTTCTCAGCCCTTGTACCGCGACCTACAGTGGTCTATTGCGCTTTTTCACATATGATACTGCTCTCACATGTCTCCAAATTCATCAACCACAATTATCCTATGATATTTCATTCAACATAACCTTAAAAGCAGATTATACTGCATATAATGAAATGATAAAACAAACACCCACAAAGAAAACTTACCTCCGTTTTCCGCTTAGAGTCCTTTGCCCTTTCAGGTAGCAGATATAACTTCACATAGGGATCTGGTATATTTGTTGGGTCTCTCAAAGGCAGGTTACTGAAAATTTTGGAACAGACTTTTAACACTTATTATCCAAAAGCTTATGAAAGAAATCTTGAGTACAATACAAGAGATGCAAATAACTATGTGTCTACAAACATTAAGCAACTAAAAACTACATTTATACTTTACTGACAGAAGCAGATAAAGTGGTCCTTGTGCTTAAGGACCACTATCTATGAGAAAGATGAAGTAAAGCTCCAAACCTTCTTGACCTCAGTTAAGGATGGAGGTGAGTGGTCAGCTTCATGCTCCAACCACTCTGCTTGTGGAAAGAGACCAAGTGCCTACTGGAGAGGGGATGGGTGGGTCTTAAAAGGTCTGGATGTGCTGCTGAAGAGAAAAACCCCTGTCCTTGCTAGGAATAAAATCCTTTAATGACTGCCACAATAATATACGCAAACTTGAAAAAGTTTACATACGCAACTTTGTGCACTACCACAACAAGCCTCTGGCGCTGAATGCTGTAGCGTATTGTTAACTGGATGCGACCCAATCCTGCTTCACCCGATGACCTACAAAAACAAAACACATCAAAATGTAACTTATCTAACGTTCTCTCTCTCTGTATTGTGTGTGTGGGTGTATGCACATGTACATTCTTTTTAAATTTAAGAAGAAAATTACCAAGTACAGTGGGGATGTCATTTGCACTCCTGTTTAAATGTATTCTTCCTAGTTTCCAAAGCAGTGTTGTATATATTCTATTACTGCTAAAAGTAACAGTTGTTCCATTATTTATTCACATCTCTTATGGTTACAAGGGACGTAAGCTGCTTTGAATCTCAACGAACACATTTCAACTGCTATCACACTTGAATTTCCAGCCATTTCTACAGTTTACACTTCACTGCCACATGACAATGCTTGGTTAGCAAATGTCTTATAAAATTTTGTAGCATTCATAAAAAATGACCACCTTAAAGACATTACTACAGTCTAGTATGTGCTCAGAAAGATTATGGAAAACCACAAAAAACTTAATCAGTATAACTGGTATCCGGCAAAGATTCACAGTGCTGTGTCACCCAGTCACTGAAAAGGTCAGAGTGATATTGTACTTCGTAGGATAGACAATCCAGAGATTAACCGTTCAGCGTGATTTGACGTGTATGTTTCGTCAGGTATTTAAATCGTCTGGGGGGGTTCGACGTGTATGTTTCGTCCAGCTGCACACCTATGTTATAACACCCATAATAATTGATGGTTTTGCTGTAGATTGTTAGATTTTTCGCTGGCCTGTTGTCAGGAGAACTGTATTTAATGACACACAAGTTTAAGAGCGCTATGTCATCGTTACATATGCCTGTCTTGCAGCAAAGTTCCTGTGGCTATTGCGAGCGGTTTCTGTCATGAATGGCGTGTTTTCTTTGCTTTGAAGTTATAAACAGCAGAGACTTGATATGTGCTGTGTTTATAATATCATATTGCCCTGAGCTGGCCACACTAACACACTCAATTGGAATTCTTAGAAGAGGGATGTCCAAAAATTTATTCTTTCATGATCCATTGATTTCGCACAGTATATAGCACCCAGTTCTTAGAAAAACGTCATGAATTAAGGCAGAACACTGTGGTCACCCCCTGAGACGATACGGATGTGTGTGGGGGAGGGAAAAGAACTCATTCCTTCATGTATTATCGCTCCAGTTGACGCCATTTTATCGTACTGACCTTGGTGGTCGTTTCGAGGGATGACCATTAATATTTNGAGCACGATTGCGGAGATCTCCACTTGGAGGACCTTCTACAACAGAAGGTGCCTCAGACAATGTAATCAAATCTTCAACTGGCTGCTGAAATGAACTGGATGAGCCACTCTGTATTGAGTCCTTTGATTCCTGCTTTGAAATTCTCACAGGAGTACTTGGTTCTGAAGGTGCTGTGGAGAGCAAGGTAGAAATCCTAATTTATCATTAATTTAGGAATAATACTAAAAAAGCAGATTTTATGACCTTAAAATATATAACAAATTTTATACGTCCTTTAATATCTTTGTCTTGGAACTCCCTATTGTCACAGCAACCTCTTAGCACAGTGGGTTAGTGAATGAAAAGACATTTATTTTTCAGCAACACATCCATTAGCATGAGGGCTCTTGTCAACAGGACAGTGAATGTCCGAGTTCCATACGGAATATTTCTTCAGTAGTGAGTGACTACTTGTTTCTTAAAATGGCCCAGATGGATACAGGCCTGTCAGTATGATTCCACAGCTGCTGATCAGTTAGTGAGGGAAAATGGATGAGTGATTTGCAGAACATGGCCAATGAAGAAAAATGATGTTGGCATGATGATAATACGGATGTGAAAATTGGAAAGGATGAAGGTTCTGACTTCATCTGGTATAGTGCTATACCGAAATTTGAAAGAAAAAATTTTGAAGACATTAACCAATTAAGTGGTATATTTTCTGTGTTCTTATCTCTCCTGCAGGGGGCCATTAAAATTATAAATTATATTAAATTATAAAAGTATGAAAAAAGTTTCTGAAAGACCAATTATCAGAGTTCATGTATCTATATTTTCATTTATATAGCCGTTACAACAAAGGTTATCCACATCTTTTAGTAAAATTCCATACTTTTGGCTTTATTCTAAAAAATTATGCCACTGTCATCATAGACATGCATTTCAGTTCCAGTACATGATCACAAAGGCATGTCTGACTCATGCACATTCATAATATGCAGTCCTGACCAGTGTCTGGTAAACACGATCACAGAAGCTGACTGACAAAATCACCTCCAGACAAAACACACCTTCATATTTTTAATTATTGCAACATTTCACTATGACCTACCACAGCTCTGACTGCCTCATTGATAACAGATGATTCTTAGCATCATGTGGGCTGCATACTTCCTTCACAAGCTCAAGGCTACTATGAATAAATGAACTGTGCAACAAAAGTTACTTGTTCTTCCAAAGATTCACTGCAAAAGTGTAACATTGTACAGACTATAAAATCATCACTAAAACAATTATACCACTGGAAACATTGTAACAACTCCAGTGGAACATACTGTGAAGGTCTTCATAATTATGCTGTAGTTTTCAATACCAGCCCATAGTACACTTTCTAGCCACTAAAATCTTACATTCAAACACTTATTAGCCAATTGCTGAAACTCGATTCCCTTTCATGTCTCTAGCAGTGGGCTGCCATATGATAATGGAAATGGTGCAGCACACAGGGCCACCCTACAGTTTTCGCAGTTGTACCTTGTTTCAGGATGCTGACCCTTTCTGTTGTCAACAAAATGAAGATACCTGAGTAGAAGGTGAAACCACCTCTCACTGAACAGGTAAAAAAAAATGGATGTTTCCAGAATTTTCCTCTGGAAAAAATAGCTCTTGTTAAACAGTTTCTGGCGAATCCTTGTAACAGAAATAATGCCAGCAACTTCATTATTTCATTTCTGTTTGTCTCCTTCCAATGATGGGTCCTAGATCTCAGTTTTATATTAGGCGTGTTTTCTAAAAATTTTTGGCATACCAATTTCTCTGGATATAATTCCATAACTTCTGGTGTACAGTACAACTCAAAATACTCAAGGGGGTTACTGGGAGTCTTCTAAATCAATATTTACCACTGGCTTGCCAGTAAATGGAAAAACATGGTCGCTCATATGCCAAGCTGCATGCTACTCTTGTCACTGACATTTTCTTCTTCAACAAAGCTGACACTCTGTTCACCACATGAAAAAATTTTCACATTTCACCGTCACTACTATATTCATTCTCTGGCAACAGTTAATACAACATCTCCTCATCACTCTCATGCATCTTCTAGTTAGGACCTGTCATGTTTACTCATAAAACTTGAACCCAGGACACCTATCAAGCAATCAGCACCTTCCTGTCACACTCTGAAGTAACTAGAAGATATAGCAAGCACAGCATACAAATTTGCATTGCAGACTGTCATTATATCTAGAATGGTGCAGTGTCAAAGTTGCATGCTGTGTAGGGACACCATACACACTACAATACACAACACCGCATGACATTTTAAGATATCAAAACCCATTAACTGGTTAATAAGAATCAGTCTGTAATAAAAACAGTCCTTGCATACTTTCAATTTCAACAGGACACCCGCCAGTATCAGGAGATGGGATAGCGTAGTTGGTATAGTGACTGGCTACAGGTTGGACGACTGAGGGGTTGGAGTTCGAGTCCCAGTAGGGTAAAGAATTTTCTCTTCTCCACATTGTCCAGACTGGCTCTGGGGTTCACCCAACCTCCTATCAAATGGGTACCAGGGACTCTTTCCTCAGGGGTAAAGCAGACAGGGCGTGAAGCTGAGCACTCAGCTCCAGCTAGTGCTGAGGTCATGAAAATGTGGATCTATACATCACTCCCGCATATGACTTCATGGCGTAGCACTTACGTAGTTAAGCAAAAGGACAACTTTACCTTATATTTTATCATTCTCTAGTATCAATCAAAGCACAATCTCATAAGTTTAGTATATGGCAGAATTGCATAACATTATATAGTGAACAATATACGAAAGGGGACCCCACAAAAAAACTGGAATTCGTTTCTAGAAGGTGGGGTGGTTGTAGTACAGGTTTCCACCACTAGGTGGTTGTTTGCAGCACCTTCNACTCTTTCCTCGGGGGTAAAGCAGATGGGGCATGAAGCTGAGCACTCAGCTCCAGCTAGTGCCGAGGTCATGAAAATGTGGATCTATACATCACTCCTGCATATGACTTCATGGCGTAGCACTTACGTAGTTAAGCAAAAGGACAACTTTACCTTATATTTTATCATTCTCTAGTATCAATCAAAGCACAATCTCATAAGTTTAGTATATGGCAGAATTGCATAACATTATATAGTGAACAATATACGAAAGGGGACCCCACAAAAAAACTGGAATTCGTTTCTAGAAGGTGGGGTGGTTGTAGTACAGGTTTCCACCACTAGGTGGTTGTTTGCAGCACCTTCCTGAATCAGTATGCCGGCTGGTGTCATCAGAGACGTTTGCGTTAATGTTTGGTGAATTTTTTTCCAAGTGACTTTTTTATAATTTGTCTATTTTTAATGGCTGATTCACACGAACAAACAAACATCCTATAAGGGAACCACCATGAGTAAAACACAAATTTATGAATGGTTCTCCCATTTCAAATATGGTGAAATGTCAAATGCTGATCAACCTCGAAGCGGACGTCCTTTGACCACCTGAACTGATGAACACATGACAAGAATTCATCAAATCATTCTGGAAGATCACCAGAAATATTATTTGGAAGTTTTCAAAAGGTTGCATAACAGTTTAAGGAGAAAACGTCCCGATTTGTGGCAAATAGGTGAATGGTTCTTTAATCATGACAATGCGCCTGCCCACACAGCGCTGAGTGTGCAGCGATTTTTGACCAAAAATGGCATGACACCCTTGCCTCACCCCTGTACTCACCCAATCTTGCCCCGTGTGATTTCATTTTATTTCCTCGGATGAAAAGAGATCTCAAGCGAGAACGTTTTGCCGATGTTGAAGACATAAAGAACAAAACAATGGAAGCACTAAAAGGCATCATCAGCGATGAATTTAAAAAATGTTTTGAGCAGTGGAAAAAACGTTTGGACAAGTGCATTGAATCAACTGGAGAGTACTTTGAAGGGGATTAAAGTTTTGTTATGTAAAAATAAATACAGAATTTTTTATAAAAAAGTTCTGTTTTTTTTTGGGTCCCCTTCATAATTTGCTTCACACCTGTACTTATGGATGAATCAGGCTTCTTGACTGAATCTCCTCGTTCAAGTGGTGACTGTTGCTGTAGTTCCATTTGACTGTCCCCTTCTTCATTCTCCTCCTCTTTCACATCTTCTTTTGGTCCTTCATATTTCAGTATCTATAAATACAACACTGAATGATGCTTACTGTTCATAATCACCATCACTAGTAGCTTCTTACGATCACAAAATTGTCATCATTTTTGCAGTAAAAGTATTCTCCTGTAAAACATAAGTTACTGCGCCTTTCTTCTTCTAAGTACAATAACGAAAAAATGTATGATAACCCAACCACAATAAATTATACAAATTCATAAGATCTACAAGTTTGTGACTATGGTACATTAACACAAATATTATGTTTCTGGGCAATATCAATCATCCTGTTTCTATTTAAAACACAATGTTTCAGAGCTATGGAGATAGGGACTAGCTCTATCAACTGGGTCCAACTGAGGAGGTTTTACCTGAAGAGGAAGATGGAATTCACTCTCCAAAACATTGTGTTTTAAATAAAAACAGAACAATAGACAATTTCCAGAAACATAATATTTGTACAATTTACATGATTAAACATTAAAGTAAGATAATGGAGTCTGGAATCTGAATATACATATTAAGGCATAAAATGATACATAAATTTACACTGAAGTGTTTCACGACCACAATTTGTGCTGTAATTAATCGTCTTCATAATCAGTGATCTAATGACGATTCACTATTTCGTAATGCTCTTAATGCTAGTATGGGACCAAATATTATGCTGCATTTTTCAGAATAGATTTACAGCCCTTGGTTCATGTGATAATCAGAATACACCCACTGATGAACACAGTCAAATATATTTAAATGTAAAAAATTTAACAGAAGCTATTAAAAAGCACATGAATTCCAATGTTAAATTTATAAACCACAGTACTTACCCTCATTTTGAGAGAGAGATTAATCTTACTGTCTGGCCCAGATTTTGTAAGACGATAAGGCTGGCTATCCACCTGTAAATCCAGTTTGTCAACAAGGGATATTAGGTTGTATACAAAGTAGCCAATTTCCTGCGTAGTCTTCTGGTCAATTACCTATAAAAGTAATTCAAATCAAAGTCTGGCTAGGTTGTCCACAAAATGATGTACTTATATATTAAAACAAATTAAATTCTTGTTTACACATGGTCTGTATCTCACCTTTACATGCAAAGTGTCTGAGTCTGGGTCGTTCACCAGGAATGTGAAGCCCTGCTCCCACACAGGATCCCCAGTCTTCAACTGAACGTTAGTTATCTCTTGCTGCTTTCCTAGAGACAACTGAGCATATGGATTAGGTTTCTTCAATGGGCGGGCATTCTGTAACAAAATAAAGAATGATAAAATCCAATCCACTGCTTTTAAATATTTCAGGTGCATTTTGCACTAATTCTTGAGGGCCTATTAGTGTTACTGTACCTGTCTACCCATTCAGGATATACAGGATATACCGTATTTACGCATGTATAGGCCGCGTGCGTGTATAGGCCGCAGCACAATTTTCAGACAGAAATTATAGAAAAAATAATTTTCTTGGAATATTATTTCAGGAGTAGAACACCCTGTATTACTAATTATGAATATATTTTTTTTTTAAATGAAGTGTGATTTCCAATATTTCGAATATAAGCCACACCCCAGTTTTCCTCTTGAATTTTTGGCAAAAAATGTGCGGCCTATACATGCGTAAATACGGTATTCTTGATGACTGGAATTACGGTAACATCTGTCTATAATAAAACTCCAAGGAACCAGAATGCTTTTCTACTGTAAACAGATTTTTGTTCAATAGAGGTACATGCAACTAAATATCTTCTTTTTATAGATACAGCTCTTATATTATTCATGTTGCCTAAATGAATGACAAGTTGTTTTATTTTCCGAGTAGCGTAACAGTGTTCTGCATAGAATATTCTAACATAGAGGCATGAGTGGTCATCAGTGCCCATGCTGTGCAAATTACATCATAGAGTTCAGAATTATTTCAAGTCAGTGCAAATGCCTGGAGATCCCTAATGTTCTTTCAAAGGGTCTTGTTAAGATTTGAGGTTGATTACACCTGTGGTTCTTGGGAGGTCCTTCCTCTTACTCCTCCAATACAAACATCATTGCCCTTCTCTTTGCTAAACATTCCATCTTACTGGTACCCACTGGATAGAAGGCTGGGTGGGCCCCAGAACCAGTCTGGATGACTTAGAAAAATCTTGCCCCTATCAGGACTCAAATTCCCAACACCTCGGCCATCCAGTAGCCAATAACAGGGTGACAGGTTTACTTAACTATCTTATTCTCCAGTTTGAGCTGACTTATTTTCATTGTCATTTTAAGATTTTTACTGGCCATATGCAGCCTGTTTTATTAACACTTTTGAACACGTCTGTTATTTTACTGTGCTTTAGCAGCTTCAGTTTCAATGTTAGCATCAGAGTTAAGGAAATATACTCCCACAACATTTTCAAATGTAGCTAGATCAAACGATATGTGAAGAGTCTGGATATTCTCGTTTGTTTCTTTTCACTAAAATCACTCACAGAAAGTTTGTGTTTCTAAGAACATTGCTCAACTGTTTCTCTTAGCCAAATGACTGCATCAAACACTGAGAGAGAGTTAATAACTCTGGGAACAGAATATGCAGCTTCCAAAAACTGAGTAGAAGTGACTGGATGAGCAGTTCATGATAGCTCAACTTTACACATTTTATAACACACTGGTTCATGAGCTCAGCTGCACTTGTGGTATGGGGTACTGTTATTGTTGTAACTGCTTTGGTGAAAGAAGATGAGAGGGGTGGCCAAGGTCACATTTCTGCAAGCCTACTGCATCAGTTTACCACGTGATACCGCAATGTGAACATGCATTGTTTTTACAAGAGTGTTTTATCAACTTCGTGTTTCGTTTTGCCTGCACAATAGACCACTGTAGGTCGCAGTGCAAGGGCCGAGAAAACATGTCTGCATCAAGTTTTGCATGAAGAGCAGTAAAACCACTACTGAAACCCTTGAAATACTTTGTGAAGCTTTTGGAGAACATACTTTAAGCCAGACAGCGGTTTCTGAATGGCATTCATGTTTGAAAGCTGGTCAAGTGTCAGTCGAAGATGACAAACGTTCAGGGAGACCAGTGCCAAACAATCCATGAGCTCGCAGACACCGCTGGGATGTTATGGAGTTTGCCTGGAGATCTTGGCAGAAAATTTGAAAATGCGCTGCACTGCCACGAAGTCTGTTACTCACTCTTGACAAGTGATCAAATGCAGCAATGGGTAAATGTGTCTTGAGCTATGAGCTAAGGCTAACGAGGACCCACCTTTTATCTCTAGGATCATAATGGGTGATAAAAGTTGGAATTACGGTTATGATCCCGAAACAAAACAACAAGCGTAGTAGTGGAAAAGTCCACGATCACAAAGAGCAGAAAATGTGAGGGAAGTCCAGAGTTCAACAAAGAGCATGCTCATTGTTTTTTCAACATGGAGGAGGATTTTTCACCGTGAATTTGTTCCTCCTAACACTATGGCCAACTCTGACTTTTACTGTGATGTTTTAAGATGCTTGAGAGAAAATGTGCAATGAAGAAACCGGAACTTTGGTGCAACCACAACTAATTCCTGCATCATGAAAACACATCCACCCACATGTCCCTAAAAAACACAGGGTTTGTAACTAACAACATGTTTATTGTTCCCCATCCTTCCTACTCACCAGACTTAGCCCAATGTAATTTCTCTGTTTCCCAAACTGAAAATTCAACTGAAGGAATTATGTCTTGAAACAGTGTCTGACATCCAAAGGGAATGACAAGTAGCACTCAACAGCATTAAGGAAAATGACTTTTGAAGCGTAGACAAGGTGATGGGATCACGGTATACTTTCCCAAGGAGACTATTTTGAAGGAGATGGCAGTCAAAATTGGGCAACTTAATCTAGCATTAATTTTTTTGACCTAGTGTGGGAACTTTCCAATAGCACTGTAAGCCGTACACTGGACAGTTCAGTATGCAAAATGGATATCATTTTGTCCAAAAACAATTAAATTATCTTTTCCTTGATTTTTTGCCATTTGTTTCACATGTTCCTGTACCCCTGAGAGGGGTATTCAAAAGCTTCTAGCCCCCTTCTTTACTTATACTATCATAAATTACAATTAAATTTAAATTATTATCGTTTTACTGCTCATTCTTTTGTGTCTGTTATACTTTCATAACAATGGAAAATAAAGTTATAAGGAGGCGATATGCAAATGTGTAGACTGTTATGCACTTCCTTACAGGACATAAGATTTAAACTAGCATAGCTTACACATCAATGACAATTACATTAAAAAATATTTGCATTAAATCTAAATAATGATTTGAAATTGCTTCTACATTAGTGAGTTTTGTCCAAGAAAACTACAACTTACTGGCAAATTTTTTGCTGAATCTATGAACACCATAAGCAATCCTGTGCTCATAGAAGTAAGATGTAACAGCTGTCTCTCTGCTATTGCCTGAAAACATAATATTTTAAAATCATCCATAATGAATCAAAGTCAATAACTGTGACAAAACAAATCAATATGAAATGATACACTATACACAGTTATCTTCCATATTTATTATGTTGCAAATAAAATTAACTTCAATCTGAATTAAAAAAAAGTGGGACAAAGCAAGCATGAGTGGAGGATACAACATAGCAAGGGCCTTCATGATCAGCAAAGTTAATACTGTAACGTGTTTGCGTTACTGAATACGCCGTAGAGATCGTTAACTGGTTTATTCAACAATCTACACCTATCGGCTACAGTTAATTATAACAATATAACGGGTTTCCACAGTTTACAAACCCTACAACCAAATCTCTTTTACAACTGAAATCGGTGACTACTACAATTCGACTCGCTTCGTGGGCTGCTACACTTTAACTCGTTCACTCCTGATCACACACTGACTTCCAGCTGCTGACTAACTCGGCGGTAGCTCCAGGACTCGCTGACTGTCTCAGTACAACTGACTGTGAATAGCCTTCGCTGCTCCGTATGTAGCCTCGATCGGACCATACGGAAAACGGCCGCGTAATCGGCACCCTTTTTGCCTGGCGCTGTGTTGCTATGTAACGCTAGCGGAGGTAACCGCTGTTACTATCGTAACGTCGCCGCTGTTGACTCGCGTTGCCTAGCGACCGCGATATCCCTCGGTGACGTCACCGCGGAGGGGAGTGGCGGGGCGGGAACTCGCCTATTACCGTAAGAACGCGAGCGTTACGTTACCGCCATGTACCGCTGGGGAGGCAGGGGTCAACATGTCACAATACATATTAGTAGTGTAACAAAACATGGGAGGTTTCAATAGATTTTATGTGTTGAAAATATGAACCTACCAGAAAGCAAGTGCTTAGAAGACAGACACAAATGTAATACTGAAATTGGTTTTAGAGAAAACAGGTTGTGAATTGCACTGAACTGGTCAATTAGTTTGATATAAATTCAAAGGAACAGACTTAATAATCACTATATTACGAATGTTACATTCAACTTACTGCTTTAAGGTCCATAAGAGATGAGCTCAATGTTAGCCAAGTCATACGTAAATGGACCATACCACTTTTAACGCCTTCCAAAGTCATCCACTGTAGCATACAAACATTTGTTTTTAAATAAAAAGGAAGAATTACAGTGGCCAAAGATATTCTGTAAAGTTAACCAGAAAATATATCATACATGGAAAATTTATAAGAAATTATTTTAATGTGATGTTCATTATGGGATAAATAAAATAGCATATTTTGTTCTTTAAGTACAATGCCAACTCAAATTACCAATACTCTCAAATCCATAATTTCTCAAGAAGCTCTAATTAGGCACTCTTGTCCAAAAGTTTGTCAAAATCTGAAAAGTGTTTAGGAGTTTAAGAATGTGAAAACAGAGACAAATGTTAGGATTGCACATGCAAATTCTTTTGACCCCAAAGAAATGCATCTGTGGTACATTCTCTATACAAAGTTGCAAAACTGCATGTTAGCTTCGGTCTCTCTCTCTCTCTCTCTTTTGTCTGCCTGGCCAGCCACAAAACAACTTGAAAACTGCTGCATGGATTGTCAGTAACTTTTGATAATGGAGAGCATTACTAAATTTCATTAGCACATTACACAATAACAGACATTTTACATGAAAACCTACATGTAATTTGGCATGCATCTTCAGCATAACTTTCTATTCATCGAAGTGAAAAATGTTTCTGTTGCACACGAAATTTAAAAGCATGTGTTATGTCTGACATACTTTTCTGTAAGTCTTAATATCAGTTTTCTGCTACGTTATGGATATGTTATAACCTGTGTATTCAGCAATCAACAATGATCTTTCAAACATTTACAAAGATATCCAAAGTCTTTTATACTGGATAATGATTAAACATGGATCCTCCCCACCCAATTTACAGGTCAGTATGTATAGTAAAACTGTCTATAACATAACACTAAATGGAAACCTCACAAGAATGGAAAGTTTTTCTGGTCCCAAAAGCTCTGAGAAAAAAGCAATATAAAACTTCCCACAATAAACTGAAATTATCGAAAAAGATATAAAGAACGAGATTTTAAGGGAAAATAATCAGTCTCATTCTCATTTTTAAATCTCTTTTAATGTGAGTTCTTACTTCGTTAATTTCATATTCCTGTAAAAAGCAGCTACATTTCAGCTTCTAAGTGGATTCCATGAAAATTAAAACTGGGGAATTTTAATAAAATATGTCAAATAATTCCAAGTTTAGCCAAAACTGGAAAACAGTAACTGACACTTTAGGCGAAGACTTACATGTCTCTAGACACACATCAAAAGCTTAAATATCTGAATAAATATCTCAGCAAAAAATGTTGAGAATAAGTTGTGGGAGGGGGGGGGGAGAATAAACACATTTTATGTTCAATACATTCATTTCTATATATTTTATGGTTTCCAATATAAATTACATGGAAAAATGAACTAGAACTTCCATGCTACTGCATACATTTCTTATCTTGTTTATCGACAATTCTATATTTCATGTAGGTAAATTAAACAACTTCAAAATATACATGAACTGACTGTAACAATAAAATAAGAGGAAACGTTATCTACTTTATTAATTTTGAGATGAGAAAATAGATAGAAAACACTATGTTTTACTCAAGATAAGCAGAGCTGCTGATCCACACAGTGCAGTCAGCCACACTCAGTAACCTTTCTTAGACAGAGACTGCATACTTCTTAGATATTCAGAACATAAAGAACAATATTAATCACTTTACAGGTGTCTAACACAGACATTTACTGGGTCCTTTTTCTACAAGTTTTGGCATAATTCCGCCCTCAAAACTAGTTCAATGTGAGAAAAATAACAAATTTATATGCTATTAAGCTGTATATTTCTGTTTTAAAACATCTGTAATTTCATTCAAAGTTCAGTAACTGCTTAAGCAAACATATATTTTGAGTATGGGCTTTTAAAATTAATTTAATCAGATCCGACAGAGTCAGGAGTCAAAAATTCAAAATGCGGAGTACCTGTGCCTGTAATAAATTTATGATGATAATCTTTGAGAAAAAAAATTGCAACATATCAATTTATACCAGTTTTCTCAAATATTATCACCAGTCTTATTACTTCGGAGGATAAAATCTACACACAAAACAATATTTTTCCAATATTAAGTATACAGAGCATTTTGTTCACAAATGTTACTTACCAAATCAACTTGTCCATTCTTGGCTGCACTACTCACATCCACAGTTGCTCTGAAAAGTACATTCAGACACATCGTAATATAAATTATTGTATATGTTTGTCTCGCATGAAAATAAATATCTGATGTGATGAAATAATTTAACAACTGAATTGAAAGCTGCCAAACGAGCAAAGATCACAATTTTCAGATGGTAATTTTAGACAGTCATGGAACTGAATTCATAAATGAAGATGACAAGACTACAAAACTTTGGGAGATTATTTATTACTATAATAGAACAGAGATTTCTCACAACAAATGTTACCTATTTTATATAAGATTATCATGCAATTTCCATGCATGCATCAGCCAAACAGCAGGAACACACAGCTCATGTGAAAAATACACTTCAAGCATAACATTTAGAAGGGCAGAAAGGGTGACTAAGACACACTGGAATACAGAACTGTTGTGCTAGGAATTAGCATCAATAATATGAAATCTAAGACCCCCAAAGTAGTGGTAATGAAGTGTTCTATCTTCTGTGATATATTGTCATGTAGTCTGATGTAAGTCAACTGATGTTGATCAGTATACTCTCATGCTACCAGGAAGATCTGCAGGTGCATCAGCTGCTGTATGCTTTATGAGTGCATCCACCTCATCAAAGAGGAAATGGATGTGGTCTCCTGTGAGTCAGAGTTACATCTGCACTTTGCCAGTGAGCTGTTGCCTGATGACTGGTACTTGATTGAACGTAACACAACTGAGAAGTTTTCACATGTCACTCCAGACAGTCAAACCATACACTACAGGAAAGTTTAGCACCTCCCTCTCCTTTTTGACAACAGGAAGCCTGTCACCAATCTTAGCAACATGCCGCTGAAGGACACAGCTTGCCCAGCCCTGGGTAGAGGTCTAAATTATGTGGTGGCTCTGGTGGCCATACCTATTGAGGACATGCTGTCTGGGGTACAGAAAGCTATAGGTGCCTTGCCTGAGAAGGCTGCTGAGGTCAATATGGAAAACTGTCAGGATCCTGAAAGGTTCCTGTAAATCCAAGAACAACCTGACTAGTGTGGAGAAGAATGCTCTTTGGGCCCTGGAGGCCAATGATGATCTTATGGTCCTTCCTCCTAACAAGGGTAATGTGACTGTCGTACTGAGCACTGCAGACTGTAATCACAAGATGGCTGCCCTTTTGGAGGACTAAGCCTATAGAAGGTTGAAAAAGGACCCAAATGAGTAAGAAGAGCAGAAGACCCTTCTTCTCCTTAAGAAACCCTCGTTTTCCAAGGCCTGCCAACAAGGCTGACTGCAAGACTTTGAGACTTTACAGGCTCTTGAAGATCCACAAGCAAGGTGTTTCCTTGAGGCTCACTGTGATCACCACATGGCCAAACAACTGGTAGGACTAATCAGCTCTCATATCACATGAACACCTCAGCAGACTTTGTCTGTTGATAGCCCACATTAAGTTCTCTCCATACTGGACCAGAGGACATAAGTGTCAGCTTCAATGTGGGGTCACTTCACCATAGTGCTAATTAAGGATGCCCTGAATCTCACAGATTGACATTTTAAGGAGGGCAGTCTGGAGATCTTCCACCATGTCATGGCCTCCTTATACTTCAGCCTTGCTGGCCACTTCTGTAAACAAACTAATGACATGACTATGGGTTTGCTTGTTACAGCTATCCTCTTCATGGAGGACTTCCAGGAGATGGTATTCAACCATAGAACGCACAAGTCCTCTGCTGGTTCTGCTACATGCATGATACTTCTGTCAACAGGTCCCATGGTCAGAATATGCTGATGACTTCCTTGATCACCTGAACACTGTCCTCCAGTATATTCAGTTCACCGTGGAGACCGAAAGAGACAGTCACCTTCCCTTCCTGGATGCAGATATTCACAGGAAACCTGATATCTCTGTGGACCATTAGGTATACTGCAAACCCACTCATACCAACATCTACCTCACCTGCACTTTCAAAACTGGTACAGAGGGAGAGCTCTGTGTGATCAGAAGAACCTTCATGTGGAACTTGGCTCCTGAAGGACATTTTCAGGCAGAATGGTTAAAGCAACCAGCACATTCAGAGGGATCTGAATTCTCCTGATAAGGTTCTCCTGCCAAACAACAAGTCAGATTCAGGTGCTTTCCTTCCTTATTTCAGGTCAATCTTTAACTACTTTAGCAGGATACTGTACCAGCAAAACATCAAGATGGCTGGCCTCCTGCCAAGGAAAATCTCTAGTTCAGTCAAGGACGACCTGGGACTGAAGATACAGCGAATGAGGCTATTTGATCAACACCTTGTTGAAGGTGCACCATCAGCACATCTGGCTTGAACATTCAGACAAGTCAGCCATGGCAGAGCACAGTAGCAACTTGAGTACCACATCCACCTACACAACACAAGCATGCTCTCCATCGAACACACACACAGATCATATCATCAGCAAGGCAACTGATATTGAGCTCCATCCCAATAATATGAGACAGGATGGCTTCTGCCTAAGTAGGTCATGTAAACCTCTGATCTGCTCCCTGGAAGAGTGCAGGAAGCCTCCCGCACAGGATTCTACAGATGGGTTCTCCATGGGGCCACAAAAGGTGCACATGCTGTTTTAGCAGGACAGCAACTCTGCCCTCTTCAGGTACCCACTAGCCCTAAGCCTTTCCTTCCTGCACCAACTTCCCCCATGGATAACCCACACATGACTTTCCTCCCACCTTCCTTGGTTTTCTGCCAACCACACCTTTACTACTTTCCTCCCTTGTGTTCCCAGATCTGCATTAGCAGAGCTGATGCTGATTATCCTTCTCTTGCATCCTATTTGTTCAATCTGTTCTGTGACAGAACCAATGGGAGCTGGCCAGATGTCGTGCATTCCTGTTGGTTCACTCTGTTTTGTGAGCTAACCAATGGGAACTGATAAGATGTCTTGCAGTTCCCACCTGCTATATAAACCTAAGCGTTTGACAGGCATACTGCGGTGCTTGCTACTGCATGCTGGTTTCTTGATTGGCTTATTCTTTGGCCCTGAAGATGGAGATAACATGTTCCTCTGAAATTCTAGTTAACTTCCAAAGGACTGCACAGTATTATATCCCAGAAGACAGAACTCTTAGTGGAAAGAAGTGCTTCATGATACCCAATGTGACACAACCAACACTGAAATCTACTGGACTTATTGCAATGAAGAAACAAAGGCCAGAACACAGACATGTGTAATTGTTTCAGATCTATATTCTGTTTTATCAAAATGTCAGGTTAAAGTACATCTCCAATTCACTCAGTACAAAACAAATAATTCCAAACATCTCATTTTATTTTTTGATTCAACATATTTTATGCCTCTGAAAATTTTCCCTGGAGCTGTTTTTGAAAGAAACATTCTGCACTTTATTGTTTAAGTACAGTGTCAAGATGGGGATATTCTATACAAATGGTTACAATTCACAGTCCGTTTCAACCCAAGATGGTTTACTAGCACATACTTCTGAAAAAGCATAATTTCAGCAGCCACATCAAAAGAAACAGTCATGTGACAGGCATAAGCAATCTCAGAAATCAGAAACTTCCTGCCAGTGACCTCAAGACCTTACACTTCATATTATATACTCTATTTATCAAACATGAGCTGTACATATTTAAATAGTCTGCATAACAAATTTATTTTCATTTTAACTAGAAATAATTATACTTCATGGACCTAAGGAATTCTAATAAAATCCTGTATACAACTGTGGAAATCATTCATTTCATAAATCTGCATACAACATATTTCATCTGCAACTTCTGAACAGGCATCATTAGATATACCTAACTTCTAATTTACAACAGTATAAACTGTGCAACTGAAATTTAGTTCATACTAAATAAAACCATCTAGAAAGGTCAATGAACAAGTGAAAGAAAAACACTGTAAGCTAGGCCGTCATACAGTAATTATTAACAATTCAGTATGCTTTGTACAGCTGGCATCAGAAAAATGTGTAAATGCCAGCAGCAATCCATAATCAAGTGTTACACATGCACTTCTGTATGTTTATCCTCTGATCCCACCTCCTGCACTGTTAAAATTCTTTTGTAACTTTTTAAAAAATAAGGCAGATAATTTATTTCCAATCCACCTATTTCATAATAAAAGATAGCTTACGATATGATATCTCTCCCTCCACCTCCAATAACTTATGAAGCAGCTGATGTCTTTTCTAAAATACTTGATATCATACCATTAGGCTCCTCCCTGCCTCATATTCAACTCCCTACCACCAGTAATACTAGGACAACAGCCAAATAAAATTTAGAAACAGAACCTACACCAGTGCCACCAAAAGTATTCTAGCCCAGGGATCCTGAAATGCAGTGCTGTAATAAATCTTCAAAATATATGCTATTTTAGTGAAGGTAATAAATATTTCTGTAGCATTTGTTACTTGGCAACATTTTTTAAAATCTCAAGGAACACAGTCATCATTTAAACACTACTTCACCCTGACTTAACTATTATGAGTTGATACTGTAAAATATTCCACTGTAAAACATTCTTATCAAATTTATTATATTTAAAGCATGTAAAAGCTAGTAACTTTAACGTTTTTGACTTACTATTTTATTTATGTGTGCCTTTCAACAAGAACAACAACAAAGACAGTGCTATTTCACATAACAATTTAAATGAAATACTCAAAACTACCTTCAGCATCAAAGTACAAGCCCCTTCATAATCAATACTGTTATAAATTTTGACACTGAATTATAAATTTCATAACTTTCCCACTTCCACTAATTATAGCTAATGCCACATGTCTGGTGTTAGGCTCACATTCAAGGCCAAAACATACACTGCTCTAGAAATGAGCACTAATATATTACCATCACTAGCAAAACAAACAAGTTTTGAGACAAAACAGAGAGGACCAGGTATCAAGCTTTATGAGGCTCCATGCTGTGCTCTATCCCAAACTACGTGGTAGAACAAGCGTTACCATACAAGTCAGACTTCACATCTCTTTGTCTCCTGCTTGTGATATGAGGTGTTTCAGAAAGTTCCTCA